TATGAGGAGTTCTTGCACTTCTTTGTTTCAAGTATTTTCTGCTTAAAGCATTTGTTTACACACGGCATCTATTGCACGTCTGTCCATTCTCTACAAACTGTAAAGTCTACTGAGACAAATCTAACATTTGTGATATTCGGCTATATAAATAAACATTGATTGATTTGCAGGAGTCGGGTCTGTCCAAGTGGCTGGGAGACTGCTTGGCCCCTCTGGAGCAAATACCACCTTTCGCCATCTCGCTGGTGCTCAGCCTGCTGGTGGCCACGTTCACCGAGTGCTCCAGCAACACGGCCACCACCACCCTGTTCTTGCCCATCCTGGCCTCCATGGTAAACAGACGTCCACTTGCACACACAGGCGCTAACACACAGCTTCTACATGTATTTAACTCTGCTCTGTCTCTGATAATAGGCCGTAGCTATTAAGATTCACCCGCTGTATGTGATGCTGCCCTGCACCATCGCCGCCTCCCTGGCCTTCATGCTGCCGGTCGCCACCCCTCCCAACGCCATCGCCTTTGCTTTTGGAAAACTCAAAGTCATAGACATGGTGAGATGAATTTACATAATACACAATCTTTGTTGCAAGAATTGTTAATGTGAGCGAAGTTTAGAGGATATTATTTGCAAGAAGATCGTGAAATGTTTGAGTCTTTGTTGAGGTACGTGGAGGATAGTGTTCTTCACATAGAGTAAGAAAAACATATTGGTAGGATAGACCAGATTAAGATTTAAGAAGATATTTTGAGTCTTTAATTTAAGTTTATAGGACTCAAAAAAGTCCTATAAAAGTATAAAAGTCCTTGTAGCGCTAAGGTCCCCAAGGAGATACATTTATTGCTGCTTTTTAGATTTTTCAAACCTGTACATATAGCACCCTGGTTTTTAAACTTCTTTATACTGATCAAATGTCACTGTCTGTTCCTTTAGGTGAAAGCCGGCTTCATGCTGAACATCATCGGGATTTTATCTGTTAATTTAGGCGTCAACACCTGGGGATATGCCATGTTTGACATGGGAAACATTCCTCATTGGGTCAACATTACAAATAGTAAACCTTGAGTACTGAATGACAGAGAGCTAGAAATGTAAAAAGAGAAAGAAAGTTATAATAGTTTCTTTATAATAGTGTAAATGATTGATTAAACGAGAAAAAAGAGAGAAAGGAGCATAAGCTTTGATTATTACAGAAGGAAAGTACAGGAAGAGTACATCAAAGGTTGTTTACAGTTTATGTGGTAAAGAAAAAAAGGTTTAAAGATTATCTAAAGAAAAATAATATTTAGACCAAGTTTAACCTAGCAGTTATGCACCACACACTTATAAAAAGGTTTAGGACTATAAAGCACGACCTTGGTGAAGAGCAAAACGGTGATTGATTTACAAAAAGAGAGATAACAGAGATAAGATTGAAGCTCTATCGAGTCTGAGGTCTATTATTAAACAGACTCTCCCCTTTAGTACTTCCTCGTATCAGGACAAATAAAGTGTTCATTAGGAAAAATAACTGAGGTCACTTGTATTGTACACATTTCCCTGAATGTGACGTCATATTATTGATCTATTTATCACTCACAAATGATGCAAAGATGAAGTACACTGTGTGTTTGATTGATTCTTTAAAATGTAATTATTCTGAGTTATGTTTACAGACGATATTTCATTTTGAATGGCCCAGTATCAGTAGATTTAACTTATTACTGTAGTTCTTTTGCTGCACCCTAAAGTCTTGGTTTTCTGTTGCACTTTTATTTTTTATCAGTGTTTTTGTCACACTGACTGTATGTGAACAAGCATTAACTGTACATTTCTTAATGTTCTGTGATTATTTGTATTCCTCCAAGGGAAAATAAAATTGGAGATACACTCTAGAGCAGTGGTGCAGTGGCGCCCCCCCTTGTCTCTACATTACAATAAAAAAAATAAAAAAATTGATTAATTAATTTGAATAACAATTCAAGTTAGTAGCTATTAAAGGCATAAAAAGACAGAAATGTATAATTCTTTCTTTAATAGAAATGTTTCTTCTGCCCGTAAAGTGTCCAAACCAGACTTTCTGGATGAGCGCATTTTTAAAACTGTACATGCCGGTTTCAGATGGATTATTTATCACAGTTGCTCCAATCAGATCGGTCTCCTCCATTTTGTAGATTATTTACGACTTTTGAATCCACATAAACACATCGGCAAAGACCGGCTTACTTTGAGCATGTTTTTTAAACAGTTTAATCCCTTTGTGAATTGTTTCCACTTGCGGCGTCCTTTAATTTCTTCATACAGCGGGAATCCAAATGAATGAATCCTGAGTCCAATAACCATCAAAGTCACTCCAATAGTGCTCCTTAATTACGCTTTCATCCTCCTGTAACAAAATACTTCACATTCATCCAGTTTGTGACAGTAGTTGTAGCATTTTTGAGACTTTTAAACTTTAATTACCGCTGTTGCACCCCCCCCCCCCCCCCCCCTTTGTGTGTGTGAGTGTGGGGGGGGGGGGCGCAACTTCCAACAGGAGTCATTTGGGGGGGCTCTTGGGAAAAAAGGTTGGGAACCACTGCTCAAGAGGAACATGGGTGAGCTATTCATCTAAAAGATTAACATTTTGGGAAATACATGTACATCTTTTTTTTTAAGCCGAGCTGTCATAATGTACCTCTAAAACTTAATAATTAACATGTATACGTTGTTTAGTATCTCAGCACAAAAGTACATGTTGAAATGTACTATGCAGATTTGTTTCTTGTCTGGGAGCAGAAAGTATTGCACAAAACATGTTTGTGTTGGTTTTATTTGCATGACTTTAACAAAAGACAACATGCCAAAGCTTTAATTGGCCTAATAATAAGATTTTAAAATAATACAATTAATATAATCAAGGAATCAGCAAAATAGTATCACAAATTGCAGTTATTTTGTTAAAGATGAAACAAACGAATATAACAAATGAATGAGTGAGCATCAGAGGTGCTGAAGGGAGCCTATTCCTCAACATTTTTAACTATTCCTGGCTAAAGTCCGAACGTCCTCGAGCCCTCAGGTAGTTCAAGCGCGGGGAAGCGCACAAATCAAACGTTTTACTTATATTACCTACAGTGATAGAGATGAAAGGCTGGTTGAATAACTCAGAGATAAGAGTCTGCCAACGAGACATGATTCAGCTGAAGGTCAATATCTACTATGTTCATAGCAGGTAAGTGCAATAAACGGAAAAGTAGAGACAAGAAGTCCCATCTAAGTAACGTGAGTTACCACATTTATTTACCAGAACCGTTTGAATTCTGTAAATTAAAAGCATCCTCATGTGAATTCTATCTTATTCACTTCACACCATTATCACAATAACATCAAGACACCGTGATATTTCCAAAAAAAAATCTCATATGTTTTTATTTATTTCACTTTTCCTCATTCATATTGACAATTGAGTCGTCGAAAACTTTACATCCGTCCAAAATAATTGCATGAGTCACAATCAGTCATAAATAAGTCAGCTCTACACGTGTTACATTTTTTTGACATAACATTCAACATATGACATATCCAGTCAACTCATCTAAATAAGTTTCCAATTTTTTGGTTCATTTAAAAAGGTGTGCAAAAAAATATGCTATGAGCAAAGACAATAAATATATACGTCGTACGGCTAACATGTCACGCATAATCACTAAAGGACAAAGTGAGAAGGAAACAGAAACAGGTCTGATGCACTTACTACTGATACATGTGTGGAAGATGCAGGTTTTATAAATCTATTTAACCTTTGCAAACCAGATGACCACATGATTAACATTTATAATAAAGTTTCACCAGACCAGTAATCATGCTTCAAACTGACAGACATACAAAAGCACGAAAACACACATGACCAAAAGATCCCCCAAACTGTTACTAAAGTCTTAAATACACACCTTATCAGAAGCAATATATGTTCCTAGTCCTTAAACATACACACATGTAAAAAATAATTTCTATAAATATTTTACTTTACATTATTTGTCTAGAGAAAAGTTGTTTACTTTCTGGTTTATCATGTTACAAAAACATCTTGTCACAGCGATGCCACACCAAGCTGTGAACTCTGTGTGTGTGGCCTTTTTTTTAGGCTTGACCAAATGTACATGTGCTTACACACACACACACATGTACCGAGCACAACTGTATGAGCATTTTCTGGATGGTTTTCTCACCGCGGGAGAAAGAGATAACTAAAAGGAGACAGGACTAGTGGACTGACAGGATGTTATAACCCCACCAGTGGGCTCTGATCGTCCCTCAGGTCAGTGCGGGTCTCTCGTGTCAGCGTGTCGTCTCTACGTCCCGCCGTTGTACGAGTAATCCGCCTTATTGTGCATCACCAGCTTATTGTCCACAAAGTAGAAGCTGTCCGACTGCGTCTCGTACGGGTGAAGGACCATCTCTCTGACTGAGAGCAGACACACAAACAACACTGCTGTTAGAGCACTGGTTCACAACACAGTATTTTCTAATGAACCTGTACGTGAGAAACATGTAAGAAGGGGAGCCAAATCAGAAAGGCATGTTGAAGCCAATGTTTTTGACCAAGACAGCCCAATATTATAACTCTTATTTCACAGTTTGCAACGTATTTGCACAAGCACTGAGAAGCACGTTTTTTCATGGGTCCATTTTTGCAGGATGGAATTTATTTTTAATTTTTAAAGGAAATGTCCAAACAAATTAACACTGGATTGGCATTATTGATGTTAAATACATTCATGTCCCACAGGAATTGTTGTAATCCCTTTCTGGATATAGCAATCTTTAAATGAGCAGTAACGGTACCGATTCCACAGATAGTTGATTGGGAAGAAGCTTGAGAACTAGTTCCTAACCACATATAACCAAAATATGTATAGGAGGAGCAAATCGCACAAATGTCTTCAAATTGAAATGAATGAATCTTTAATAACGAATATAGGATAACGAAAACGTTCAGGAATAGTACTCAGATCTGTTTTGATGTAGGAAAAGTGTTTATTTTTTATATATATTCACTGCAGCTAGGTTTCAATATAAAAAAAAAAACTAATCCAAAACCATTTTGAAAAAAGGGATATTCATTCCAATCCATTTATAAATCAAAGAACAACCGAATAGACTTACTCGTGTCCTCAGACAAAGGGGGGAATTCGTAGATGTGTTCGCAGGAGTTCTTGCTGCTCGGCATGCAGAAGCCAAATTCAAAGTCAAAACTCTTGAGCAATTTGTCTCTGAAATAATGTCTCTCGATCATCCTGAAGTTTTCTATTGGCGTGTCTCCGACCATGAACTCAACACTGGACAGGCGGATAGAAAAAAGGTGAGTGAGGCAGAACAAGAAACTGAGAAAGAAGACAGATCTTTCTAAATAAAGATGAACACACGTTCTCACTTACGTGGCTCCAACTTGCCGCAGTCGGAGAAAAGCGGGGGTGAACTGGTAGCGGACAAATCGGCCGGCGTTTGGGTCCATATTCCTCTTATCCCCTGCTTTGTCTGAATTGAGAGCAGTTTGTGCGGAACAGAAACAAAATGAAATGTAATTCATATTTGGACATGAGCCTTTTCCCACAAACAGGTTGTAACAAATATATCAACACACCCCAGAAAACCATAATAAGTAGAAACATATTAAAAGTGCGAAGTTGATGGATTAGTTTAGTTGATGTGTGAAGGCTGCATGTGAGAGGCTGCTTTGATTATCTGTATTTTGATAGTAAACATAGATTAAGCGAAAGAAATCCATAGGTGACTCGCCTGCAGATGGAGGTTTGGTGATTTCAAACAGCACGGTGGAGGTCTCCATGTCTCTGATCTTGAACCTGGTAAAGTCGATGCTGAACACATTTTCGTCTGGGCCACACAGATAATCTGAAAGAGAGATATACATATAAAGAATGTACTTAAACCCCTATACTTGATAGTAACTTGAGCTGATATTGTAGATGATGGACAGTTGGCATTAAAAGATTAGACTTTTTCTAAATGTATTTTTTATATTTTCTGATCATTTAAGACATTTTAGATTATATTTAAATTGGGCAACGTTGGTAATTCTCTTGTGATGCACTGTCATATACTTTTGGTTAAAAAACGGTTTAAAACATTATTATATATTACGATGTTGTTATTGGCTCTGAATGATCAATTATGCACCAATAATGACAATGTTTCAGATACTTTCACATATGAAAGAAATAAGTGGAAAACAATAGAAAGAAGTGTATTTTATTTAATTAATGGATATATTTAGCAAAGTTATGAGATCAATGAAAATGTAAACATTATGTTGGGTTGACATGAGTAAAGTAAACTGCTGCAAACAAAGCAAAAACAATTATCTTAAATAATTATCTGAATATACACTGTTCACACACACACACAATTAAACAGCTCTGCAGCAATGAACATTATATTCAAAGAATAAGGTGCATTCAATCCAGTTTGCTGCAGTTTCTAATCCTCTCCATTTGACAGCCGACTCGCGTACTAAAAAGCTCCCTGTGATGATTTCAAGTGAATGTTTGACATGCAATTCAATGTTAAACTCATTTAGAGGATTCATTTCCCCACAAATAGGACACGGCAGACACACACACACACACACACACACACACACACACACACACACACACACACACACACACACACACACACACCACTCACACGGAGGAAGGTTACAGTTAAAAATACACTTGGGATAACGTTGTTTCAGGGATTTGAAATTGTGGATCCTGCAGGTCTGAGCAGCCACAAGAGAAAGTCAGTGAATGTGTGCGATCAGATACAATGCCCATCTGCTTTGTTTCTATTGTGATGTTACAATAATGGCGGTTGTTATCCGGCCACTCAATCACATCAAAACAGTATTAGCTGTGGAAAAATAGACTTATATTGGTACAGTGAGGGATCATTTAATCGCTAATGATGGCCAATCAACCCACCAGCTGTTCTTCATGACACATCGACTAAAAAACCCGACAACATGGTATTTTCCAGATGTTACGATCCCCTCCCATCTGCGGATCTCGAGCTGTTCTGTTTGCCATATTTAACTAAATAGGAAATGTCTATGCTGAATTGATTAAGTCAGTATCTTACATTACTTACATTCCTACCAACAATAAATACAGTGTTACTTTACTTGAATTCAAAAGCTGATGCAATACACCGGGCAAACTGATGCCCGATTGTGGCTAATCATAGCTACTGCATCAATAGTTTATCACATGTACCTGTTGTAAATCATCACTTCAACAGTGATGGCTCCACTCGATCAATCGCACAAATCAGTGAAATAATGTTGAATCCTATTCAAACAACACACATGCTCATCTCTAGCAGCCCAAAAAAGGAATATTAGTGGATATCATTTAAAAAAAATTGCACCTTTAATAGTAGATTAGTAATAGTTCACCAGGGTTGTTAAATGTGAAAAGTAAATAAGAAAATGTCAGGACCATTCAAGATGAAAGTGTTTTTATGCATGCACTTTAGATCTGACACCTTTTAAACATCAAAAGCACTATCAAATGCAGCTTAGTTAAAGAATATATCAAATGAAATTGAATTTCTTATTTCAAACCAATTACATTTAAGCACTATCAATGGCCCATGTCCAAAATATATCCAAAAACGTTCAAAGCTTTGATTGTTTCCCTAACATTTCAGAACTTTAAGGATTGGCTTCCTGACATTTTTTTATCTCTACATTTTCTTTTTCATGTGTATGTATTCATGCCGGAGCACAGAAACCTAACAATGTCGACTTGAGTTAACTGTTGGAGGTGAATGTTCCTGACAGAGAGGATCTGATTCGTTGTGACGCTCTGAGGCCTTTGCTCCTCTGTCAGTCTGAACGCTGAGCTTGACTATTCTTTACTCACCAGCTCTGCATACACCTGAAGATTCATCATCCAGACACACACAGATAACAAACAATGAGCAGCCACATCATTTTAATAACTAACACACTTCATCTGTCAGCATGGACTGGTAGCATAATAGCAATTCTGCATTATTGTGTGTACGTCTGCATGGATTGTGTGTAAGCTATACTGAACCAGAGCTCCTTCTCATTTTGATAACAAAGAGCTAATACTTTCCTTTGAGCCTCATCATGAAGTCCCATGAGGACAAGGAGTCTGTAATATGATTATTGTTGTGATTAATTGTCCATGTTGTATGTGCGTGCTCTCACTTGGTCTCACAAAATCAGGGTGATTGCAATTGATTTCATGCAGTCTCTTACCTCAGCTCACAAGCACACACTCACACCTAAGGATCATTTGCTGCTTGAAGCTAACAAAACAACACACAGACTGCAGTTTTTCAGTCAGCACTCCCGCTGGGCTGTGATAGTAAACACATCTAGTCAGAACACATTGCAAGCTTTCTCTGAATGTGTGTTTCTTTGTGTGTGTTTCTGTGTGTGTGTGTGTGTGTGTGTGTGTGTGTGTGTGTGTGTGTGTGTGTGTGTGTGTGTGTGTGTGTGTGTGTGTGTGTGTGTGTGTGTGTGTTCCTGTATTTGTGTGGTCTGTGTGTGTAGAACCCTTGCCAGGCCTTCCTAAAGGAGTAAAGCTTGGAGCAGCTAAATCAAGACCCTCCACCTCACTAAGGAAGAAGACCATTGGGAACACAGGTGTGTGTGTGTGTGTGTGTGTGGACATTGTTAGAAGGCACTGTGAGCGTCAGACTCAGCAGCACAGCGCCCTCTGCTGGTGAGCTGAACACAGAACACAATATAAATAAACTAAAACATAAACACAATTAGTACTTTTACGTTTGGTACTTTAAGTATATTTTGATGCGAATACTTTTGGACTAAAGTAGGATTTGGCATGACTTTTACTTGCAACACATATTTCTATTTTTTACTTAAATGAAATGTCCGAGTACTTCTTCTACCTTTGTACTTATTACACTTGTAAAACTCTTTCTTAGAAGTGCTGAAGCATTACAGTACATGCATACATTATTGTGTAAAGCGACAGTAATATAACTAATAAAGACAGCCGCAGGAGCCTAGATATGAAATATCCTCATGTGTGAGCTTCATAGTTGATCATTATGCAACATCTTCAAAGGAGTCTCATTGAAGGGATGACAGATGTATATGAAGTATTGCTTGCTCTTGAACGGAGCAGGGACTGTCCCACTTTGACACACACTCCATTAGCGATAGCAGTGAGTCTATGAATTTCAATGATTGATTGATTGATTGATTGACATTCCTAATTCTGCTCCATATTCCCCTTTGCTCTACTTCCAGAACAGAGAGGACCAGCTGCTGCTGCAGTCTTACCACAGAAGCTCCGCCCCCCTCAGAAACAAGCCCCCACCCTGCAACACACGCCTCCCACCCCTCCAATTCAGCCAGCCAGACCTCCACCTCCTACACCCAGCCTTCCATCCCCCCACCTCAGCCTACCACCCCTCCACCCCAGCCTCACCCTCCGTCCCTCCACCTCCGCCCCAGACCTCCATCCCCCCACCTCCAGTCTGACCCTCAGGCTGCTTCTGGAAGCTCCGCCCACATCCTGTCTGTCAGATTGTGATGTAGAAGAGGAGGAGTGTGTTACCTGTGACGAGACACGGACACACACACGGCTGTCAGACAAAACACAACACCTGCAGCGTCGTGATGCCAAACACGCAGATGGAGACGGGGCCACGTTGCTATGGTTACATGAGGACACGCGCGTCGGGGAGAGAAAGATGGGTGCAGAATCTGCTGGAGGAGCTGAAGGCTCTGATCACAGGACAGAGTGTGTGTCCTGTCTGACAGTTTGACAGTTTCTTGGTCATGACACATGTAATTCAAATATTGGGTGTGTGTGTGTCTGTGTGTGTGTTAAGGTAGGTGCAGCCGAGAGGCTGCTCAGTCTCTGTCAGTCTGGACAGCAGAGCCTGTGCCTCTCCCAGCCTGAATGGATGTTGGGGTCCCGTGCAGACTGCAGTGGACCTCATCCCAGTAACGAACCCAGAAACTGTCAGACTAGACACCCAAGGTACCTCACCGGCTGTATTACAACAGTACAGCTAGACCATACAAATGAGGTCAATCACACCTTATAAGAAACCATGAAGAATAACTCATAGAACCAAACTTCACTAAGACCATTGTGTGGTTCCAGGCGGGTCAGGATTCTGAACCAAGCAGCCTGAAGGAGAGAGGGAGAAGGGCAGGCGGTTACACAGCAATGGGGAGCCCCTCAATAACTCTGGAGGTAGTGTGTGGTGTGTGTGTTGTGTGTTGTGTGGTGTGGTGTGTGTGTGGTGTTTGTGTGGTGTGTGGGTGGTGTGTGTGTGGTGTGGTGTGTGTGTGTGTGTGTGTGTGTGAGTGTTGTGTTGGGGTGTGTGTGTGTGTGTGTGTGTGTGTGTGGTGTGTGTGTCGTGGTGTGTGTGTGGTGTGTGTGTGTTGTGTGGTGTGGTGTGTGTGTGTGTGTGTGTGTGTGTGTGGTGTGGACGAGAAGTAAGAGTTGCCTCGTGGTTGACCCCTGCTCCTCTCCACAGTGTGTTCTCTGCAGGAGCAGCCTTGGCGGCGCTCAGGTCCCGCTGCAGGAGCTGCAGGAGGAGCTGAACGGGAGTACGGAAAGAGACCTGAGGGACACCCAGAAGCCAGCTGACGGACAGA